TTTTTTTTTTTTTTTTTTTTTTTTTTTTTTTTCACTGAAAACTGGTAGTTATTTAATATACATCTGTGCACCTCTGCACGCCTTCACACCAGTACCTCACTCATCAGCGAAATATGGTATATGATGAAAACAAATTTTTATACGCCCGTGATCACTGTATTCAATAATTCAGGTAATTTGGATACATAAAAAGGAAGATGTTCGCATAATTGCTCAGAATAGTTGTGGATAAACAATATTCAAGATGCAGCTGAAGTTACGGTTAAAAATTTCCCTGCTTTACACGTGCTAAACATTTTTGTACGCTAAACATGTGACCGAAATGACGATGACTTCGCCAAATAAGCTGCAAAAAAATATATCTGCAACTCCTTCCTTGGTTCTTTCGTTATTATTATTATTATTATTTTTGTTGTTGTTCGTTGAAAACGACCGTGCTGATGGAAATCCTGCGCAAACTGATACAGTGCTGGACTCAAACACTGTTGTGGCGTGTCAAGTGACATTCAGTGGCTAGCCCCAACAACACATCATCGGACAAGAGTGCCAGTGAAGTATTGTCGAGTATGGGGGATGGGAAACGGAGTCGCGGAAGGAAAACTGTTGTAAACGACGGCCACCGCGTCCCTCTACGTATATACCTCTGTGCTCCCTACCACTGCCTCTGTTCGACTTGCATACACTCTCTGCTTGTCTGCGTATGCGCTGTTACGTATGGGATTTGTAAATAGTTGGTCTTTAACGGCGGAGCATCGGGCAGAAACTGCTTCGTTGCATGTAGTTCGTAGGCAACATCCATATAACAAGTGTTACTGTTTTTTTATTCATATATGTTTTTGCTTTTTGCACTGCTGTTTTTCACCAGTTTAATTTGGATTCTTGTCGTTTTACTGCTATTGATCTGCTGGTTACTTAAGCGATCTTTCAGGATTGTTTTCCTTCAGCAGTGATCCTTGGACTTACTGCTTTATTTTTCGTTTTAGTTTGCTTTTTTTATATGTATTTTTTGTTGCTTATCTTTCTTTGCGCCAGCTGTTTGTTGATCTTTGGCAGAGTAAGGTGGAAATGCACAAAAATGAGGGCACATGCTTTACTGGATTGGAAGGTAGAGAAGAAAACAGTGTAGTAACAGGATTTCCTTGTCGGCAAATAGCCTGACTTTATTCTGGATTAGATGGGGCTGAGCGACCACATTGTGAGCAGATAGTTTTTTGACCTATTGTCATTATACGGTCCAGGTACTGAGGATATTTGTATGAGCATTAGATACTATCCAAGTACCAGTTCAGTCTTCATTTTACGAAAACCAGGTCGTCGTTTTCTGACTTCTTCATTTCTATTTTTAGCAGGAGTAGCTTCTTCATGACATTTTCATTCCTAGTTTTCTTGTGTAGTGCTTACCTGTTCTCTGATCATATTTTACCTGATAAAGCTTCCTCATACTAGTTTTCTTAGCAGTAGGTCATTACTGCCGCTTTTTAAAAGTAGCTGTCATCGTGGAAAGCGTTTTGAGGGCTATTTTTTTAGTCTTGGGTACATGCGTGGCATTTTTATGGCTGGCCTCCTTTTGCAAGAGTTTAGAAGTTGTTGGTTTTTCCATATTTTGTTGGTGACGCTTCATTATTTTCATTTCTCATGTTGTCCATATCGTGATGCCGTTGTTCTTTTTTCTCTCGACAATTGTTTTATCAGCTTTCTGTCTATGCGTATCGTATATGTAATCGTTGTCCAGGAAGCGGAATGGTACATATCTCGATGATTTTTTCACGTAATGCATGGTTTATTTCAGCTTTCGGTTCTTTACTGAGCAAATGGAAATGAAACGACTTCTACTTTCAATAATTCTTGGTAAGGAGCAGTTTCTTCTCTTTGAAACTTATTTGTTTATTCGTCTGTTGCTGCTAGTAGAAGTTCTTAGGTTGTGGGATGCCCTTAGATTGAGGGGATAGAAATGTATGCTGCGGCCAGCTTCTGTAGCTCACGGCCGATTAGGTTCTTCTGAGGTGCCATCCAGTTTTGGAGCCGATGATGGCGAATCATCGTTGATAATTATGATAAATGATATTTTTTTGAAGGGGCTATTCGACTGTTGCGTTTATATAATTTTTTTCCTTCAGTAAATGTGCACTTCTGTTTCTTTGCATTAAAGTGTAGAGGGCCCCAAAGGATAGCAGCTGGAATGTCAACGTTGCTAAGAATTGAAATTGCTAAAGTCTTTAATTTTTTTTTGTTATTTCTGTGTTTCGAAACTAAATATTAAGAGGAATAACCA